ATACTTCTATCTACTATCTACTTACGTAATTAACGGCTTTTTATTTTATTTTATAATAATTTTTTTCCTATACAACTGCTCTACGTATATTGAATAAAAAAATAAAAACAAGGAAACTTCTTTTCCTGCATAAAAATTATTAACTCATTAGAGAAGTAATTCCAAAAACTCGTGCTTTGTGTTTCATTAGGGTTTCCAAACACTCAAAAACAATAAAAGCACTCGGCCTACGCGGCCTCGTGCTTTCAAATGTTTTCTCGTGTTTGGAAACCCTAATGAAACACAAAGCACGAGTTTTTGAAATATTAACTTAAATGGAACAGCCATGTTGAATCAATAACATCCACGGCTGGTAAACACTTGTACCTTTTACGTCAACTGAAAAGAGCTAATGTCTCCAGCACTGATCTAATAAGATTCTACTGTAGTTGTATTAGATCTATTATAGAATATTTGTGCCAAGTTTTTCACAGTAGCCTGCCTATCTATTCATCGAACGAAATTGAAAGGATTCAAAAAAGAGCGATGAACATAATATTCTATCTATGTGTGTGCTTTCTTGAAAGTTTGCTGCAGTTAATGACTTATTAAACCCGCATGATCTAGCTATTTAGTTCGATTAGCCCCACTATTTCTAAGTAGCTTGTGCTCTTCTTCTGCAGTTATCTTTTCTGTATTTTCTAATGTTTTCTATAGTTGAGATTGCTAATAAAGATATATTGTTAATGAACTTAATACCCGGAAGGAATTTAAGTAAAGGGAGTGGTGTTTGAACACAAATTCATACACACTCATCACATCCTTGAATGATTTCGTTTACTTTTTATGCGTAAAAGTTTTTTAATAACTATTCCCCCGCGAATATCAGACAGCAGTTAGAGATAAAAAGCAGTGATACTGAGTAGAGTAGACCTGAATTTAGCTTGATTTTAAGATATTACCCTACGGCTTAAAGTTTGACATGGAAGTATACGATCTGAGCTTTCATTTTATTGCAAGACAGATTGCTAAATTATATCTTATGTGACTGAATCTGACTATATTTTTTAAGGCTTACCTGCGCAATAAGCTATTGTGCATCCTCGGGTTGGTACAAGTAAATAGACAAAGTAGTTTCCACAGTGTTTTACGGAAATCTGATGCTTTCGAACGCAACCATCTTTCATATCGAACATGTTAACGCAGACTGTGGTGACCACGGTTTGTCCTTTTGTGGTTGGCAAGGTTCCCTTTATCCAGATTGGAGCAACCGTGCCGCAGTGGTACGGTTTTGGCTTGGTAGTTGGTATCATTCCACCAACAGCACTGGTAAATCTGTACCAACCAGGTTTCAGAAGGTTGTCGCATATCGGAATTTCTCCTAATGTCCATTTGTAAGCGGTGCTTCGATAGGGATTGTTTATTACTTTGTGGGTAGTACATGGATTATTCGCGTTTGCTCGTATAACAATAATGATCAGTACAAAGAAACAGAACAAAAACGTTTGCGCCATTCTTTCTAGACTCAAAAACATTGCAACGCAGTTATCCTTGCAGTGCACTCTAGATGTGAACTGGCCAAACCTCAGCCTTCCTTGACCCTTATTAAGGTTAGAGCTCCCTCCCGTCATTGTCCTGTCATTTTAGGTTGACGAATCGCGCAATTACGTATGTCACAAAAGTTTTTTTTAAAAAGATTGCTTTGGAGATCACGTCGATTAGAACTACCACATAAATGTTCTAAAAATATCAATAAAGCGAAGACCACCCTTTTCTACTAAAGTATCCATATTGGCTACCACAAGTGATCTTACCAATCGATTAACAAATATTATCATTAACTTACTAATGTCTTTAATGTAATAAGATCATCTTATAAAGGAGGGAACCAAATCACAGATGGCTTAAGGTCACTTTTCAAAAAAGCCTTATTAGGACCCTTTGGTAACAGTAGTCCCCTTCCTATGCATAACTTTCGGCTGTAAAGACTCTGTACTGTAAAACTCCAGCAGAAGGTTTGAGTATTAGGGAAAAAATCAAAAAGATTCCGTTGTCGCCCGGCAGGCTAGTTCGTGTAATATTTATCCATGTCGTCAATGTGGAATTATCAGTCAATCATGCAACACAAAACCTCAAAAATCTACAATGGACGGCTTCAAACACAAAAACCGGAAGAAGTTTGACCTCAATCTTACTGACCTTCAACTTCATGTATTAAAGTATTAGTCTTAGATGTATTATAAGTCTTAGATGGTTTTCAGGCTTTGATCGAAGAACCATAGCAGAATGAGATAATGATAAACATTCCAAATGAAAACAAAAAATAACAAGTTTTGACACGGGAAAACGTGTCAAATGTGCTAGGCACATTGGATACTTTGAATAAAGTAGAAGACTATTTGGGATTTAGTCATTGTAAGACAGAAGAAAGTCCGTGGATTGGGTTTGACTAAAAATAGAATATTTTGTAATGCTGATAGAAGAGAGACGTTTTTTCGAGGCAAGATTTTTTTACGGTCAAATTGAACCAGCATAAACGAGTCTTGGTCGCAAACCCCAAAGCAAGCCTCCGTCTCTCTGAGAACCAGCATTATGGTGGCTCCATCGGCTCAAAAACACCACACAAAACATTGAACAGAGGATTCTCCATCTACAGAAAAAGTTTGCTCTCGAAAATTTACCTTCCCCCGAGTGAGAGAAAGGAAAGAAGACTCTTTCCTTTCTCTCTCTCGGGGGAAGGTAAAGGAGACTCTGCTCGCAGTGTTACCTCAGAATA